TTTATTTTTTTAAACCGCTAAGATTTTAAATTTTATACGCATTCAAATTAAACTCAAGATTTGCCTATAAAATCTTGACGTTGATCAAAATCTAGTGTTTATTATTACATTTAATATTAATTTAATGTTTGAGAATCACTAACTTTTTCTTAATATATCTATGTCCATTGGTGATAGTGATACTCAATGTGGTTCTAAAAATAAAAATAATAATTTATTTTTAAAAATTTGTGCAAAATGAAAAAAAAATCAAATAACTTCATTTTGTGATTGTGAGTGCCAAACATTTCCTAAGTTTTTGACAATAATTAAATGTATTTGTGACCAAAAAAATGTATCTGTAAGTGTATCTTTTTACCCAAAAAATAAAAAATAAATGTATTTGTGATTGTGGCTGCCAAACATTTCCAAGAATTGAAGAATTCGAGGTGTGTTGTTGCTGCAAAAGTCATATTCCATAATCCTGTGTATTATGGTGGGATATGGTGGGATAAGGACAATAAGGTGGTTGTTTCATATGAATATACATAAAGATACATAAAATTCGAAACTTTAGCAAATTGAGGAAGAAAGAACTCACGGATACATAAAGATAAGATATTTTGGAGATGATTTCAGGGATGCTAAAACCGCGAGGTGCAGAACCAGCGATGTCAAAGGCAAGAGTGAAAGGAGACAAGACAACTTTGATTGGGAAATCAAGAATGTCAATGACTTGTTGTCCATAAAGAGTAGAGAATTGCTTGAATTGAGCATCAGCAACATATGATATGGTCCTCTCGACATTGGAGAAGAAGAAGAAGATAAGAGCTTTCTTGCTCTTCGGTTAGTTTTTGTTAGCAGAGAGGGTTCAAGAGAAAGATGATCCATGGTCGGATATGTACAAAATGAAGATTTTTTTTCTTTCCGTTTTTGGGTTTGAGGCAGCGAAAAAAATGGTCTAGTGGTTTGTTGACACGTGGCTGTGCTGATCCGTCTCAAGCGTTTCATCTGGAAGAGACGATTCGGAGCAAAATCAGGTAACTAATAATTTTTTAAATTTATTTTATTAATTTTTAATGACTTTGAGACGCTAGAAAGTTAAATCTTAAAATTTTAAACCCTAAAAACTTTTTTGATACCCAAAAATCCATAATTTCTCACAATTAAATTCTAATATAACATAGTTAACCCAAACATAAATAATATAATGAATAATTTTTTTTTGAAAAAGTGGCATTTTTGCAAATTTTTTGAAAATGTGGCATTTTTGAAAAGTGGTATTTTTCAAAATTTATGTATAATAAATTGCATAACTAAACTTAAAAATTTTTATTAGTAGCAAAAACAATGTTGACAAAAAAAAACTAACAACAACAATGTCTATAATAAAAATCAAATCAAATACATATTTTTTCATATTTTTAAAGTGTAAAATTTTATTAAAAAATATAAATAAATTATCCGCGTGTACGCAGACAGGTCACGTAGTATTATAATAAATATAAAAACTCATGATTTGAATTATTATAAATACAGAATATATGAATAATTTGACACTTTCTAATTATTATTCAATAATTTATCATAATTTTATATTCAAACTAAATTTCTCTCGGTAAATTTCAGTCCATGGAGATGGATGGAGGCGAAATAGAGAACTTCTCTTGTTCTAGACAGAAATACACGATTCTTGGAACATTTTTTTTTGTCTCATACTAATCTCATAATATTTTGATCTCATAATATTTTTTGTTCTAGACAGAAGGAGTTGTTCATATTAATCTCATAATATTTTGATCTCGAATTCAGTTTTATTTAAAATTCAATTTAAAGAAAACGATTTTCTTTTAAAGATAATTAAATAAGAGATGCAATTTTTTACGAGAGAAATCTAAACATTTTATAATAGATTTTGCACTCTAAAATATTAAATTATTATATATTTGATTTGAAACATTTACATATATAAAATAATGAAGGGGTAATAGCAAAAATACCACTTTTGTTGTGTATATTTGCACAAATGCCACTATGGATTGCTTTTTACAAAAATACCACT